ACAAAGATGATTAGGAGGCTAAAAGGTATGAAAAACGGTTGCAGAAATTGGATATGTCTAATCTAGTGAAAAGAAGGACTGGGGGCACATGAAGGCAGTGTTCCAATATTTGAAGGCTGCCACAGAGAGGAGGGGGGGTTTAATATATTTTCCAAAGCACTTGAAGGCAAGACAAAGAGCAATAGATGGAAACTTATCAAGGACAAAAGCAACCTAAAACTAAGGACAAATTTCCTATTTGCTGAGAACAAGTAAATAGTGGAACAGCTTGCCTTCAAAAGTTCTTGGTACTCCGATGGAGGCTTTTAAGAAGAGACCGGACAGCCACTTCTCTGGGATTATACACAGTCTCCTGCTTGAACAGGAGGTTGGATTAGATCAGGGATTTCCTACCTTGGCAACTTTAAGACTTGTGGACTTAACCTCCTAGAATTCCTCAGCCAGAGGAATTCTGGGAGTTGAAGTCCACAAGTCTTAAAGTTGCCAAGGTTGGAGACCCTGGACTAGATGACCTCCAAGGTATCTTCCAACTCTGTTATTCTGATAGGAACAATGAAGCTACTGCTTATCTCCAGCCTACCAACAACTGCACTACCACCGGATGGTATTTTCCATAACTCTTTCTTTCCATGTTGTAATTGGCTGGATTTTTGCAGACAAGCAGCATCCCAATTCCCGTGCATTGCCTTGTTTGACAGTGATAAGTGTGTTCAAAATGGGGGGGAACCCTTACTCAGGGCATCTTGCTCCAAAATCTTGAGCTGGAACTGTTACAGACAGATGTTTTACACCAGCTGTTGAAAATCCTCAGAATTCTGTGGATCCTCCGGAGCTTATTCAGATTAGGAAGAAAGGAAAATAGGCTGCCTTGACATATGCTTGGATTAAAAATCAACCAAGTTAGTGTGCCTGCTGGAAAAGTCTCTGACTCAGCTTGAATATACAAGATAATTTCCTACAGTATTCCATGCTAGGATCGCTCATATAAACCAACACTAGCTGGGTTAATCACACAAAAGTCCTTTCCGTGAGATCAGATCAGTTATCCATTTTTTTTGGCAATACTGGTGTAACCAGCAGAAGCAGCAAACAGAAGGCCCTATTAAAAGTGCAAACTAGAAATCTCAGAATTTGACCTTCTAGGAATCTATTTCACACAGATGGACCAACGATAATGCATATTATCCATTGACCAAATGTTGATTTAAAAGGATGAGAACTTTTATATGAACTACCTACTACCAATCAACGTTCTCAAGGACTGTTATATTTAGCCACAAGCCCTAACCTCAAAAAAGTTGCAATTAATTTTGCTGTTTCAGTTTGAAAACATTCTGCTTCCTCTGAAGTGGTGGTGGAAAAACAATGCAACGTTTATAAAAAATTATCATCCCAGCCAAAAATGTTTGGGGCTAATGGTCCCTCAGAAGAACGTTTTGGATTCCACTAGGTAACCTAGTCACCCCATCTCATTTTTCATTTTGTTCTGAAGAGCTCTGCATGAAAGCAAAACAAACAGGACAAACTCTGGAGAAAGTAACTAGACCTCTATGAAAGCTTTGTTTTCTTCTGGTTTTCATTTTATTGGACCGAGGCACATGCAAAATGCAACAGTCACAGCAGGACACAAAGAATCCTGGAGCTAAGATTGGTCAGTGCTTAATAATGTTATTGTCTTTATGCAGAGGAGTGTTTAATTTGCAAACAGAGATTACTGTTTAACTGGCCAATGCTGGGTCACATGCCAAGCAAAACAAACCAGAATGACCTGCCATAATACCCAGAGAGACTTTTGTTAACTAAACATATTAAAGCAACAGAGCTCTCAAGAGTTTAAAAATAGATTCAGGCCATTTTGTTTAGTTCAACTTTTCAATAAGGGAGCCCTGAAACCACTTAACTGTCAGGATCAATTGCTTGTAACTAAACAGATAACACAACTAAGCAAAAATTCAACTATTGGGGACTTTCTGTCTCTTTTTATATATATAGAGAGAGATGGTTATTTCACCACAATAGCCACCCGCTGATTATGATACAAAACTAACCGGGAGTTTATTCAAACTGGCATTTTCCTGGAAAATAAGAACAGGAGATGCATAAATGAAGCCCTGAAAAACTGACCACAATAAAGTATCAATCTGCAGCCTGGTTTCTGTCTTTTGCAGACAACTTATTTATTGTGTAAAGAAGTCAATGTCATCACATTTAATGAACTTTGTTTCGAAAATGTAAGTTAAGTCTTTGGCAGTTCAATTGTATGCCGGCTAACTCTGAAACAAACTGTACCATGCTCAGAAAGATTTAGTGAAAAGCTAAGTGAGGATTTGGGCCAACATCTATTTAAATCCAAAATACTTTGCCCAAACTGGACTACAAGCCAGGTTATAGGTATATTGTTATTACTATTCACATGCTATAGCAATGTTTCTCAACTTCAGCCACTTTACGATGTGTGGACTTTCAACTCCCAGAATTCCCCAGACATCCATCCTGGGCAGTTGTAAGCTATGGAAGGCTGTAGAGCAGAGTTTCTCAATCTTGGTCACTTTAAGAATTGTGGACTTCAATTCCCAGAATTCCCTAGCCAGTCATGCTGGTTGGGGATTTCTGGGAGTTGAAGTCTTCACGTCTTAAAGTGGTCAAAGTTGAAAAAAAAAAACCTGCACTTATACTTATTATCTTGTAAACAATTGGCAAATCAAATAAATAAATAAATAAATAAAATAAAAACTGCTCTTCCCTAGCCTACAACTGCCCAGGATTTATCAGCCTACAACCAGCATCATCCACAGCTAGATGAGACCTAGATACGGAGAATGAGATCTGTAGTTCTGCTGATTTTCTGTCAGCCCTTTAAGACAGACCAGATCAGGACACCAGAGTCATGCGTGCTAACGCTACTTTTATTATAAAGTTTACCATAGCAGAACCTTGCAGGCCTCCAACTTCCTCCCCTCGCCCTTTAACTTCAAGATAACTAGGGACAGTCATCTCTGAGGTGTTTTCTCAACTTACATTTCTGCCCCAGACTAAAATTTCTTTTATCTGACTGTTGTTTTGGTTGGGGCTCTTGTCTATGGAGATTCTCAGTTATCCAGATGAGGGTTGTCCCCAAAGGTGCTTTTTCAAAAGGCAACTGGACTTTGTTTTCCTTTGAAGACATTTTGGATCTTATCCAAAAAGCTTCTTCAGTTCTGGAGAAGTGAACTGAAGTGAACTGAAGAAGCTTCTTGGATTAGATGCGAAACATCTTCAAGGAAAAACAAAGTCCAATTGCATTTTGAAAAAGCACATTTATGTTGTGGCTCTTCTTCCTCCCAGATTATTTCTGTTGCCCATTATATCTTTCAACTCTCTTACCAATGGAAGCAACCATTGCCTAGTCTTTAAACCACATGCTGACAATTCCTCATTTTCCAGCCCAATTATTTTTTGGAAACTCAAATCTTTGGGAGACCCTCACCAGTTAAACAACATGCATGTTTCCTGAGCTGAACTACCCAACACACTATGTACAAACTTCTCCAACTATCTGATCCCTTTTAGGGAGACTTGGACTACAATTCCCACTACCTCCAGCCGATTATGGGAGTTGTAGCTGAAGATGACACCTCCCAAGCATGCTGGCAGGCTGCCCTTCCACGAGGGAGAGAGTCATGTTATTAAGGTGGAGTTCACTTATAACAACAAAGAGAACATTGCACATGTCTTCACAGCACACTAGTTTCCTAGGAACTTATGAGTAGAACACCAAACTCATATCCCTTGTGATAGCACTGTCATGCAATAGAGATGGCTCACTCCATGTTTTTCTTGCTGGTATTGGGTCTTAAGACTTCCTACCATCAACTGGGGGGGATCAGATTTACATGGAACCACTAAATTTTAGGCAGGTGTCATAAGAGCAATGGAAGGGGGCAGGAGGTGACAGCAGGGAGGACACATCTAACTTCTTTTGCCTGATAGGCATTATCTGATAATTGACAGCATATTGTGGGCACCATGACTTTCATGAATGGACCTTTTCCAATTTAAAAAAAGTTAGTGGCATGGCTAATTAAACAGCCATATGATCAAGGGCATATGAGGCTTAGAAAATATAGAGAAACACTGGAATTCATTACCCATGATTGAAGTCCATGAAAGTTTAGAACAAAATGCACGATTTTTATGTTTTCCAGTCTACGAAAGAGTTTTAGGGGAATTCCTAAGCTTCAGATATTCTGACAGTCCCATTATTTCCTTTATTACTTCATTACTGCTCTCCTTCTCCAAATGTTGATATATTCTCAGAGGCTACATAAGCAAAGCAGCAAGACAAACTGAGTTAAAGCTTAGGAACAGTACAGAATCATTGAACCTGGAGATTCAACTACTAGAAGGTAACATCACCTTAAACATTTTAGGTCATCCTCTCCTGAACCAGCTGCGGAGAAGTTAACAGTTCTCAAATTCCCAATCCATAAAAGAAAAAACCGGGGTGTTATTATAGTCCCCAAAGATCTGGACAGCCCTATGTATACCAGAGGTTAAGGGAAGGCCAGTTGGGACTGGCATCTTGAAGCCAAAGGTAAAATGTTATCAACTGCGTAGGATATGAAGCCAACACATGTTTTGTGCGGGGCGCCGCAGGGCTGGTTGGTTCGCCCTTCCCCTGCTGGTTATTCGCTAAATTCAGCTTGCAAGATCTCCTGCCCGCGATGACGCCACAAGCCAGGAACAAAAAACAAACAAAAAAAGGCATTGCAGCCTGGCGCAAACAGACGTGCGCTCGGGACAAAGCATCCTGCATTGTTCCTGGTGGTACGGTTGCTTTTTTTTTTTTTTGCAAAGGCGCACACATATATATGTGAAATACACCTCCGAGCCAAGATCCGCTTCTCCCCCTTGCTCAATTGCTCCTGCCCCGAGTGTCCCCACGGCTCCTACTCCCGAGGCTACCTTAAAGCCTTTGGGACCTACCTTTCGCCACCTCTCCAACCCCCAACGCATCTCACCTGTTCTTCTCGTTGTCGCAGCCGCCGTGCTCCTTCCCGTCCAGGAACCTGGTCCAGCCATCCCCCGTCTTCACCCAGTTCTGGCCCGGTGATCGCCAGTCCTGCCCCAGAAAAGGCATTGCAGGCAACCGAAAGAGAGGGACGCCCGTCGGGAGAGAAAAAAAATGAAACAAACAAAACAACAACAATAATAATAATACAAGGCGCAAGAGAGAGAGACCGCGCGCCTTGGGCTGCCTCCAAAGCAGAAGCTCTAAAGATGCTCGGTTGCCAAAAGGAAACCCGGAGATGCCGCCTGAGCTGAACGGTTTCGTGTTTTTTTAGGACGCCACTTTCCCTCCACCCCTTGACGACGATTCAAACCCCCCGACCGCTTCTCTGCCCGGGCTCCAGCCGCGTCTGTATTTATCCGGGCCAGCTGGTGGCTCTTTGTTGCCGGAAGAAGCGCGCAAACTCCGCCCTGCGCCCGGGGAGGGGAGGGAGGACACGTGGCTTTGTTTATGGCCGCTTCTCGGGAGGCGGAGAGTGGTTGTTGCTTTGGCCACAGTTGCTTATTGCACAATCCTGGAAATGGGAACTTGGTGTCGCTCAGCTGCCCAGCCTCCCCAACCTTCCAAAGCAAAGTTTTGAAAAAAACAAAGAGAGGTTACCCTAAGGCGTAGTGCACCGATGTGGTCCTGTTATTATTGTGGTTAGTACTGGTTGACCAATGTAGTTGGCCGATGGAGATTCTCAGCCATCCAGGACATGGTTGTCCCAAAGGTGCTGTGGGAAGCCTCCCCCCCTCCCCAAAGAATGAAATATTTTGGGAAATATTTTTTTTTTAAAGGCAGAATATTATATTTGCCCAAAGGGAGAAATGGAGAAACATGCTCTTAAAGACAGAAAAGCAGCCCCCAAGTCTTAATAGCCCACAGCAGATGCCAGCAGTTGAAGAGTAGAGTAGAGTAGAGTAGAGTAGAGTAGAGTAGAGTAGAATAGAGTAGAATAGAATAGAATAGAATAGAATAGAATAGAATAGAATAGAATAGAATAGAATAGAATAATAGAATAGAATTCTTTTATTGGCCAAGCGTGATTGGACACACAAGGAATTTGTCTTGCTGCAAATGCTCTCAGTGGACATAAAAGAAAAGATACATTCGTCAAGAATCAGAAGGTACAACACTTAATGATAGTCATAGGGTATAATAAGCAATCAAATCATATTAGGAAACAGTCAAGTAAGGATACAAGCAACAAAGTTACAGTCATACAGTCACAAGTGGGAGGGGATGGGTGATAAGGAGTGATGAGAAGATTAACAGTAATAGTAGAGCTTATTGAAAGAAGGAGCCAACTATCTAGCTGGCTCTATTCAGAAGCAAAGGAAATACTGCCAGCAGAAGCCCATTCAAGACAGTTCAAAACTCCTTGCAGCAAAGTTTGACAGCTAGCAAAGGCAGAATGGTAGGATTATAGAGCAGCCCCTCACCCAAGATCCAACCCAGGACGAAAGCCATTAGCCAATTGCCCAACCCATCTTCAGAACATAAGCTCCTTCATTGCACCACCTCCAGAACAGTTCAAACTTCAAAGTCATAGAAATCTATAAGGATCCATCCACTCATTCAACCAGCTGCCCCAGAACCCTGGTGGGTCTGCTTCATCAATAAACCTTTCTTTCCAATCAGCCTCCATGTTGTTTCCAGTGTCTTTCTCCCAGCTTGTTGCACCTGAACCAGATGGATTTTCCTTCCAACAGTGATTTTTCAAGAGGCTTTCTGTTTTTTCCTTGAAGACCGTTTTACTTCTTATTGTTCCCACCTTCCAAACAGCTAAAGAAGCTTCTTGGATAAGAAATGAAACATCCTTCAAAGAAAAACCAGAAAGTCCAGTTGCCTCTTGAAAAAGCACCTTTAGGAACTAATGTAGTTATTAAAGGTAAACTCAGGGGTGGGATTCTACCAGTTCGCACCTATTCGCTAGAACCGGTTGTTAACATTCTAAGCAGTTCGGAGAACCGGTTGTTAGAAGAAATTACTGGCCTAATCCTGTAAGGAAGGCAGGAAGGAAACATTCTGGTGTTGCTTACAGCAACTGCCTCTCCATTAACTCTTATTACATTCTTGGCAGGACGATTTCCTGTCTCTGGAACTTCTCTGGAGTTTTTTTTCCTCCTTTGCTGGTACTTTGCTTGTGTGGAGTGACCATTCAAAGTTACAATGGCACTGAAAAAAAGTGACTTATGACCATTTTTCACACAACTGTTGCAGCATCCCCACAATCATGAGAGGCCAGGCAAGGAGATGCGTGCCTCGATGTGAGTGATGTTGAGTTGGCCATGCCCAGCCAGTCACATGACCACCAAGCCATGCCTACCAACTAAGCCACACCCACAGAACTCATTAAAAAATTTGAATCCCACCCCCGGGGTAAACTCCTCTTTGGGTTGAGTCCATTCTGGATTATTTTCAGAACAGGGGATTTTCCTGGCAAAAGCCCCTAAGTTGATTTGTTGCTGGTTTCTTCCAGTTCATTGTCTGTTTTTCTCCAGTTTCCCAGGCCACTTCATAATTGGGAGATTTCTTGGTGGTCTCCATCCAAATATTAACAGAATAATATGGTTGGAAGGAACCTTGGACGCCCTCTAATCCAATGTCCTGCTCAAGCAGGAAACTTTATATCATTATAAATAGCTGTCCAATCTCGCTTCTTAAAAACTTTCAGTGTTGGAGCACCCATAGCTTCTGGAGGCAAGTTGTTCCACTGATTATTCTGTCAGGAAATTTCTCCTTAATTGTAGGCTTGATTTCTCCTTGCTTAGTTTCCATCCATTGCTTCTTGTTCTGCCTTCAGATACTTTGGAGAATAAGTTGACTCCCTCTTCTTTGGGGCAGCCCCTGAGATATTGGAACACGGCTACTCCAAATGCCAATCTTACATGAAAGTTTGACTGACTCTTGCCACCCAGCTACGCCGACCCGTAGCACTGATCAAAAGGTTACAGAAGTTTGAGGAAATTTGGGAGTTATCTGGAGCTCTTCATCTCTGCAAAAACAAGTATGGAAGATGCAGTTTTATAATACATAAATTACCCAACTGATGTTTATCAGAGGATGTTCCCAAACATCCAGAGAATATTCCACTTTAAATTCTTTCATGTAGGAAGTTGGGGTGCCTTTTAAGAGTGGCTTTTGGGGGACGGTGTCAAAAACCAAAATGGACTTAATTTATCTTTATGTTTCTATTAAAGTAAGATTGATTCCTTATATTTGTTAATTTTCCTCTTGGTCAACAAAACTATAATCTAGTGCAGTGTTTTCTCCACCTTGAGAACATGAAAATATTTAAACTTCAGCTCCCAGAATTCCCCATCCAACATGGCTAGTTGGGGGATTTTGGTGCTGAAATTCACAGATCTTAAAATTCAGACTCAGAAAGACTAAAACCAAGAGTGAAACTTTGGGTGGTGGGCATGGGGAGACCCCCTTTGGCATCAGATTAGGAGGAGAATCTTTCTGCTTATTGTTAACTGTTTTATCTACAAGGAAAACAACAACGAAACTTTCACCACACTTTCAAGATTAGTAAAAGATTGTGCTTCCTGACTTCCTAACATATAGTCACTCTCATCCATGCCACAATAGTTTCAAGATGTCATAAAAAGTGTTCCTGATTGCATCATAGAGGGGGAGAAATACATTCCTCCCTCTTGGAAGGAAGCATTTGTTTAATGGACTTCTTTTATGTAGCAATAAATTGAATAAATGTGCATGGGTCACGTGGGTAGGGTTTCTTTTCCATAAAATTAGCACTATGCCAGAGTGCCCGTGCAAGAGAAGAGGAAGTTACATTTTTGAAAAGCTGATGTTTGAGTTTGGACATTTAGACATGTTCCTATCTGAGGCTTGTTTGAAGATAAGTTGTTCTCTGATTGACCAACAAATGAAGGGGCGTGTGTTGATCCTCCCCTGTTATTGTTGAGTGGGCAGAATCATTCACACACCATAATATTCTATCCTGTTTTTCTACAGGAATACAGATTAACAGAGTTGGAAGGGACCTTGTAGGTCATCTAGTCCAAACCCCCCAAAGCAAGAGACTCTGCACCATTTCTGACAGAGGCAGTCCAGTCTCTTCTTGAAAGCTTCCGGTGATGAAGCTCCCACAATGTCTGAAGGCAAGATGTTCCACTAATTTATTGTTCTCACTGTCAGAAAATTTCTCCTTATTTCTAGGTTGAATCTCTCCTTGGTCAGTTTCCATCCATTATTCCTTGTCTGGCCTTCAGGTGCCTTGGAAAATAGTTTGACCCCCTCCTCTCTGTGGCAGCCCCTCAAATATTAGAATACTGTTATCATGTCTCCCCTGGTCCATCTCTTGACTAGACTAGCCATGCCCAGTTCCTGCAACTGTTCTTCATATGTTTTAGCCTCCAGTCCCCTAATCATCTTTGTTGCTCTTTTTTGCGCTCTCTCTAGAGTCTCAACATCATTTTTATAGTGTGATGACCACAACTGAATGCAGTATTCTAGGTATGGTCTTGCTAAGGCTTTATACAGTGATATTAGTATCTCACGTGATCTTGATTGAATCCCTCTGTCAATGCAATTTAGGACTGCATTGGCTTTTTTGGCTACCGCCACACACTGTTGGTTCATATTTAATTGGTTGTCCACTAAGGCTCCAAGATCCCTCATGGAATCACAGTTACTGCTATTAACCCTGATGGATGCAGACTGATGGATACTGTCCACCACAGACAACTAACCTCAGTATGATTTGCATGTAATTTCTCCTGGAATGAAAAAAGAATGAATTCAAATATCCTTGGCTTTCTGGATATTGTTGGCTTTCTCCCAACTTCACTTCCACTTTTGAATCATGGGCTAATGAATGGACAGTTTATCCTCCAGCTTCTGGAGGATAGATGGAATATAAATCTAATCAAGAAATATAATAAAATATATTTATAAAATATAAATAAGTATTTGTTGAGCTGTGGCCGTGCAGGACTTATTTGGTCTCCCCAATAACAATCCTATGAGGTAGGCGAGAGAGAGAGAGAGAGAGAGAGAGAGAGAGAGACAGAGCCCCACTGACTCAGAGCTGATGATGGTTTTCCTGGGCAGCCATTTGTCCAGAATTGTATAGAGTCCCCTGTTTGGGCAAGAGGGTTGGACTAGAAGACCTCCAAGGTCCCTTCCAACTCTGTTTATTATTCTGTATTTATTCTATTCTAAAATAAATGATGTAAGGAGATGTTCCATTCAGAATACTTGTAATTCATGAATCAATCAACATTCATAGATGAAAAGCTCAATAATAATATATCTAAAACAAATAAAGTAAATAGGAGTTGATTAAAAATAGATATGAGAGACATAGAGGAAAAGGAAGAGAACGGTTAGACTTCATAAACCAAT